GTATAGGATCAACGACTAATACAGTTTGGGAGTGTATAGGATCAACGACTAATACAGTTTGGGAGTGTATAGGATCAACGACTAATACCGTTTGGGAGTGTATAGGATCAACAACTAATACAGTTTGGGAGTGTATAGGATCAACGACTAATACAGAAACACTATTCAATTTATACAATTATTTACTAAGTATCTTCAGTTGTTATTTTTTAGCTACCACCAAAAAAAATTGGGAATTTGTCGTGGAAAATGTTCATTTAGTGTAGAATATGCCATAAATGGTAGAGATAACACTATAATGTACTGGGTAATATAGAGGATTCTGTTAATGTAGAACTTACTGGTTTAGGTAGCACTAACTAAGGATTGGTTAGTGCAGGATGTCAGTTGTCTGAAGAGGGAAGCTTTAGTATGAACAATAATAAATGGAAAAGGCAAGACAAGAAAAGGAATTAATTGTGCAAGAAAATAAAATGCATTAGAAAACACTATGTTTTCCCATAAGTCTAAGCAACAGATTGAAAGTTTTCAAAAGCAAATGTTTGCCTGACCATAGCTTTAAAAAATAAAAAATTTGATGAGGAATTAATGCCACAATCACTGCTTGAAGCTGACCAATGGTGAGTGAAGGAACGAACTGCTAGGTTAGAGAAATGTACGACATTGTGGTGAAATTAGAAAGAAAAACAAGAAAGTTATGGAAATTGCTGTAGAATACCAATAAATGAACCCAGAAATAAGTTGTATGATATAATTGAGAAATTAATAAGCTACAGAAGTGATATTCAGAAAGAAATTACCAAAGAAAACTTGAATGATGCATTAAAATAATGAGTGGCATTATGGGATGTAATTAACATGATAGGAAGTGAAATATGAGTTTTTCATTGTTTCAAATTGATCAAAATTATCATGAATTAATGGCATGTATATAATAAATCTTTGTTTTTTAAGGTTGTAATGACTAGTAGTAAGTAAATATTCTTATTTTCAGAATTATGTAGTACTTGCTGAATTGTCGATCTTCGTGATGACTGCTCAGTTCGCCAAAGGGGTAATTTTATAGACATAATTCTTAGTTCTTTCAGTAGGTAAGTAATTTTTGTATCTAATTTTATTATAAAATCTTACACTGACGACTAATACCATCCATAAAATCATGCTAATTTGGTCTAAATCCTTTATAATACACAGTACATTATAGTGTTATCTCTACCATTTATGGCATATTCTACACTAAATGAATCCTTTATAATACACCATACATTATAGTGTTATCTCTACCATTTATGGCATATTCTACACTAAATGAATCCTTTATAATACACCATACATTATAGTGTTATCTCTACCACTTATGGCATATTCTATACTAAATGAATCCTTTATAATACACAATACATTATAGTGTTATCTCTACCACTTATGGCATATTCTATACTAAATGAATCCTTTATAATACACCATACATTATAGTGTTATCTCTACCATTTATGGCATATTCTACACTAAATGAATCCTTTATAATACACAATACATTATAGTGTTATCTCTACCACTTATGGCATATTCTATACTAAATGAATCCTTTATAATACACAATACATTATAGTGTTATCTCTACCATTTATGGCATATTCTACACTAAATGAATCCTTTATAATACACAATACATTATAGTGTTATCTCTACCACTTATGGCATATTCTATACTA